ACATGAAGGGAGTGTAATTTTTGCCCATTCCTCTTTGCAAAATAGCTCAAGCTCTGTCAGTTTGGATGGAGAGCATCTGTGAACAGTAATTTTCAAGTCTTGCCACAGAATCTCAAAAGGATTTAGGTCTGGACTTTGACTGGGCCATTCTAACACATGAATATGCTTTGATCTAAACCATTCCATTGTAGCTCTGGCTGTAGGTTTAGGGTCCTTGTCCTGCTGGAAGGTGAACCTCCGCTCCAGTCTCAAGTCTTTTGCAGACTCTAACAGGTTTTTGTCTAAGATTGTCCTGTATTTGGCTCCATCCATCTTCCCATCAACTCTGACCAGCTTCCCTGTCCCTGCTGAAGAAAAAAAAGCAGCCCCACAATATGATGCTGCCACCACCATGTTTCACAGTGGGGATGGTGTGTTTAGGGTGATGTGCAGTGTTAATTTTCCACCACACATAGTGTTTTGATTTTAGGCCAAAACATTCACTTTTGGTCTCATCTGACCAGAGCACCTTCTTCCGCATGTTTTCTGTGTCCCCCACATGGCTTCTTGCAAACTGCAAACAGGACTTCTTATGGCTTTCTTTCAACAATGGCTTTCTTATTACCACTCTTCCATAAAGGCCAGATTTGTGGAATGCATGACTAATAGTTGTCCTGTGGACATATTCTCCCACCTGAGCTGTGGATCTCTGCAGCTCCTCCAGAATTACCATGGGCTTCTTAGCTGCTTCTCTGATTAATGCTCTCCTTGCCTGGCCTGTCAGTTTAGGCAGAAGGCCATGTCTTGGTAGTTTTGCAGTCGTGCCATACTCTTTTCATTTTTTGATGATGGATTGAACAGTGTTCCGTGAGATGTTCAAAGCTTGGGATATTTTTTTATAACCTAACCCTGCTTTAAACTTACCCACATCTTTTTCCCTGAGCTGTCTGATTTGTTCCTTGGCCTTCATGATGCTGTTTGTTCACTTATGTTCTCTAACAAACCTCTGAGGGCTTCACAGAACAGCTGTATTTATACTGAGATTAAATGACACACAGGTGGACTCTATTTACTAATTAGGTGACTTCTGAAGCCAATTGGTTCCACTAGATTTTAGTTAGGGATATAACAGTAAAGGGGGCTGCAAACAAATGCACACCACACTTTTCAGATATTTATTTGTAAAAAATTTTGAAAACCATTTATCATTTTCCTTTCACTTCACAATTATGTGCCACTTTGTGTTGGTCTACCACATAAAATGTATTAAATGTATACATTTTTGGCTGTAACTTGACAAAATGTGGAACATTTCAAGGGGTATGAATACTTTTCAAGGCACTGCATGCAATGCCAGTTTGCAGCTAGCCTGATCTGGAAGCAGCTGTTAGACCCAAGCTGACACTGGGGAATTGGGAGCAGAAGTCAAGGTCAGTCTACACCTGTCTCACAGGAAACTCAGTTACTGAAAGTGCATTGGGCCCACTGTGACCATTTCACAGGAAACCAGGGAGAATGCACCTTGGAGTCCACAAAGTACACACAGGGGTGCATTCTCCCAAAAAAACAGTGTGCATACTACATCTTTCTGGAGTTGCAGGAGAAATGGAAAAAGAAAATGAAGAGTTGCTGCAGATAGGGCTTATTCAGAAGCGCCATCATGCCTGAGCATCACAAGTCATTCTGGTCCTCAAACGACATCAGACAACCAGGTTTTGCATAGACTACAGAAAGGTGGATGCCATTACTACTATTGATGCCTACCAAATCATCAGTGTTGACAAGCTCTTAGATAGCCTGCCTACCATTTACCAAACCTGGTAATGAGCAGAGTGCACTGGAACATTTCCCTAGCACCTATGGCTCAGTCAAAATCAGCCTTTAGCACCCCATTAAGATTATTTAAGTACAGTAATGCCATATGAGATGAAACCCTTACCAGCTACCTTTCAAAGGTGACCTACTAGAAAGACAGGGAGCATTTTCAGACAGTTACCTAGATGACATTGCAATATGCAGCTCCTCTTGGAAAGAACACCTTGCACATCTGTCACAGGTCCTGGACAAATTACCAGCTGTTAGTCTGATAATCAAATAAGTAAGTGTCAGATTGGCATGAAAGAAGTTGAGTACTTGGAACACCTGGTAGGAGAAAGTACCCTGAGACACGAAAAGTCAAATCCATTATGTCCTGGTCTACAAAGAAGCAGGTCATGTCTTTCTTGGGGACAGCTGGATACTCTATGAGATTTGTTGAAACTATAATGCCTTGACCAAACTCTCGACTGAACTAACCCAAACAAAACTGTCTAAGTTGGTGTCTTGGATATTACAGTGAGAAAAGGTCTTCAAGGTCTTGAAGGAGGCACTGACCAGTGGTCCTGTATTACAAGCACCTGATTTCAAATATCGGTTTCTGGTGCAAGTCAATGCATTTGCCTATGGTTTATGTGCAGTTCTGAGCCAGGATCAATCAGGAGGGAAACATCCCATCCTCTACCTAAGTAGGAGATTACTCCCCAGGAGTGCCTTGCGGTCCTGTGGGCAGTGCAGAAGCTACCTTTATGGGTGCAGCTTCATAGCAATCACCAAACACAATCTACTCAGCTGGTAAACTGCATTGCCAGGGAAAACAGCAAGCTACTTCATTGCAGCTTGACTCTCCAGCAATACAATTCATCCAGCATAAAAAAGGAAGTAACCTTGACAATTCATACAGGCAAGCAGAACTAGTAGAATTTGGTCGTGTTGGTTTGTAATTCCTTCTGTGCAACCTCCTATAAGAGGGAAGGGTGATGTTAGTGAAGACTAATGAAACCCAAACTGAGTGGAGAGAATAGGAGAGTAATTCTGAACCCTATGCCACCCTAATTTCCCCTAATAACTGGGCATTAAAAACAAAAATGGTAAAATGTAACTGTTTGTCCTAGGCAGCTAGGGAAGGTGACACACTGAACATAACACAGTCCAACTAAGAAAGTATAAAAATGTTTCAAACCCCCACTAGCCAAAAAGCTTCTAATGAGGCCCTAAACAGTCTAGAGAGCTAGCTATACACATCTGCGAGTCTGGTTTTTAACTGAAAACTGAACTTCCATACATGTCAACATTAAACATATGCCATAATTCCTGCTTTATCAGAGTTACCTTCAAAAAAAGTGGTTACACTAATCAGTTAGTCACCAAGCACACCTAATTTACAAGGTCTAGAAGGCTATTAAGACATCTTGGACTTGCTAAGAAGAAATATACATAAGATCTGTATCATATTTGGTATCTAACGTATTATAATTTCATTCTGCTCAAAAATATGCTGACTGTTGGATTGTGAAACCTTCTCAGATGGAAATATAGATGTATTTAGGATAGTGGGCATTAAAGAGTGTCTGCTGAACATACTGTAATACAATACTCTACAAAACACCATTGTCACACCGCTCAAATCTTTTGATTGGGTACAGTTAGTTCTGTTACACCCTCATGAGGGTCAAGAAAAGTTGGAGCTTCTTTTTATTATTGAAAGTGCAAAGGTTCCTGAGAGTCTTACGAAGAAGGCGAGTGACTCAACCTGGCTAACCAGTGGAGATAAGCCAACGGTTTAGACTGATCCTTGGCTGTTCATTTAGAACTTATTTCTAAATGCTTAGCATACACATATTGCAAAGAATCATATTGATAACAGGGAGTACACTGCAAATATTTAGCATTAATTCAATTAAATGCATGTGTTTACCAAACATATATAAAGTGGAATGCATACTTTTATTATAACTTCTGTTTTTTTATTAAAATATAGGCTTCAAAAATCAAAAGACAACACAGTAAACACAAGTCCGGTTTTCCCTGCAAAAAAGGTCTCCTGTCACTGTGCTCACATAGGAGTTTTCTTTCTCCCTCTACATCTATATATGTCTCAGTGTCAATAATAAATGTACAACAGATTGTGAATCAAATCACCATGAAGAATGGTCCTTGAGCATATACTGTATCTTATAGCTTATATTTAATGAAGTTTTCTTTTAAAATTAATATACTTGAAATCAAGAATTTAAAAAGCTAGGGATAGCCTTGTGTGAAATGAGAAAGAAAGTGGTATGAGACCGAGGGAGAGATAAACAGAAAAAGTAAGTGAATGTGGAAGGCAGGGAAAGTAAGATAACAATGGACAAGAGCACAGAGAGAAATAGCGGACACCAGCACAGAGAAAGATTTGAAGTAAAAGAGGGAGAGAGAAAGAGGGAAAAAAAGAAATAAGGGAAAAAAGGAAGGAGAGAAGGAAGGAAGGAGAGAAGGAAGGAAGGAGGGAGGGAAGGAAGGAAGGAAGGGAGGGAGGGAGGGAGGAAGGAAGGAAGGAAGGAAGGAAGGAAGGAAGGAAGGAAGGAAGGAAGGAAGGAAAATAAAAGGGAATGGGAGGAAAGAGAAAGGAACTGACAAGAGATGCTAGGTGAAGGAAAGAAAGAAAAAAGAAAAATCCAATGGCATTTGTCATTTTATTTCTGCTGCTGAGAAGTGTTAAATACGTTTGTAAAGCTCCAGAAGCTGCCTATGATCGATTATGAATCTGTCCATAAGGGAGGAAAGAAGAGAAAGGAAGGGAAGTCAGATAGGAAAGATAGAAACAAAAGGAGGAAAAAACAGAAAGGAATGAAAGGAAGAAAAGACAGGATGGAATGAAAGGAAGCAAATGAAGGAGAGAATGACAGAGAACAAAATGAAAAAATATAATTAATAACATCTGTCATTTTTTTCCTGCTCTTGTGGGTTGTGAAGACATCTGTAATGCCCCCAGGAGCTGCCTATGATTGATGATGCTTCTGCCAATAAAATGAATAGCAGATGGATTCTGGTGCGAGGCAGCAGTTTTTTCCTTCTGTATTAGATGTGTTAGTTCAGTATGTACACTGACCTTACACGCTTGCACACAGTGGCATTTTTTAAAAAAGAAAGCCTCTTCTCTTTTTTTCTTGCCAGACTGGAGTCCTTTGTCACTGTTCTTGCATATAATGTATTGTATTCTTTGACTATGCTGTATGACTATTTTCTTCGGCTCCATTACTGTACACATCTAGGTCCTCATGGTGTGTTATGTGTAACTCCCAGGAGAAGAAGTTTTCTTTGTGAGTCTTTCTCTTTCCTCTTGTATAAAGCAGCTCCATGTCACTGTTGTCCAATAGGCGAATCAGGTCACCATCTGCATCTTTTATATTCAGGGCCACGTCAGTCCCAGGGAACTGAGTTCTGATAGAAAGCAGAATTAAAAATATGATTACACAGACAAAAAAGTCTTATGACACTGCTCCAGTTTTTTTAAAAATTTTTTTTACTTTTACAGCCAAAAGTGATGTGCAAACAGGCAGAGCACAAGGGGCCACAAAGGATCAAACCAAGCCTCAAGTATGCTCAGACATCCTTGTCCTAGTAAAGAGTCATTTGTTGTTGCGGTACCTATCTGCTTGGCTATAATATTATAGCCTATGGTGTTGGTATGCATGCTAACAATGTGTTCATATGACATTACATTTTATAAACACTATGCATGTTTCCGCTACATTTGTAATATGTCTTTCACTGTTAGTTTTATGATTGTTATTATTATTAGTATCATTTTTATTTTGATTTAAGCAGACCTTGCAATACAATACAAGGTCCACATATGCTGTGCACCCCCTTCCTCCTTTAAAAATCACCTTATGTCCTAAGTGCAAAATGTACCCGTAAAAAAATAATTTAGATTTATATTTACCTTACCTCCACATTCTGCATTGTTTGGTGTCTTCTTGCAAGATTACAGCTGCGCTGTATTCCCCAGAATCTCACTGGAAGGAATGTGACGTTACCATCGCCTAAGCGCCACGGATGGAAGATGGGGGTAAGTATAACTCTAACTTTGTATCTAGTAACATTGAGTGATTTTTAAAGGGAAAGCGGGCTTGGACAGTATATGTAGCCCTTATATTTTAGTGCAAGGTCCCATTCGTTAGTTTATTAGCCAGAAAAGCACTATACATTTTGTTTATTAATTGTTTTATATATCTACTGTATAAAGGGTTTGGTCAATCTAAGGGGCATTAATTAATCAGTAAGTGTGGTTTTGATCAAACATTCACCGCAGGTGATCTCCCTGGTGATTTTTTTTTTTATGATACAGTAAATGATTCACCAAAAATGGATGTGTAATGAATGCCACATTCAATGCTTTAGAATTATGCTATTAGATCTTTTGCAGATCGCACTGGCACTTGTTGCACTTTTTATTGAAGGATCTATATTTTACTGTGGCATCTTTGGCCTGACACCTACCTTCTTCATATGTCATCAAGTCACAATTTTGCCAATCACTGACTAGAACCATTCCAGCATAACCACCCACACACATGACGTTACCCTTGTCCTTCAAGCACTGTTATAAATGCTAGTCCACATATTAGAGTATATCTGTTAGGACAGCTATATAAACAGTGGACAACACATCTGTTGAACTGTTTCAGCTACTAAACCTTTGTCATTACAGTGACTTGAAAAAGTATTTATGCCATTTGTATTCAGCCCCCTTTACTCTGATACCCCCTACTAAAATCTAGAGGAACCAACTATCTTCAGAAGTCACCTACTTGGTAAATAGAGTCCACCTGTGTGTAATTTAATCTCAGTATATACAGCTGTTCTGTGAAGCCCTCAGAGGTTTGTTAGAGAACATTAGTGAACAAACAGCATCATGAAGGCCAAGGAAAACATCAGACAGCTCAGGGTTAAAGATGTGGAGAAGTTTAAAGAAGGGTTTGGTTATAAAAAAATACCAAAATTTGAACATCTCACAGAGCACTGTTCAATTCATCATCCGAAAATGGAAAGAGTATGGCACAACTGCAACCCTCCCAAGACATGGCTGTTCTCCTAAACTGACAGGCCAGGCAAGGAGAGCATTAATCAGAGAAGCAGTCAAGAGGTCCATAGTAACTCTGAAGGAGCTGCAGAGATCCACAGCTCAGGCAGCAGAATCTGTGCACAGGACAACTATTAGTCGTGCAGTCCACAAATCTGGCCTTTATGGAAGAGTGGCAAGAAGAAAGCCATTGTTGAAAGAAAGCCATCAGAAGTCCTGTTTGCAGTTTGCGAGAAGCCATGTGGGAGACACAGCAAACATGTGAAAGAAGGTGATCTGGTCAGATGAGACCAAAATTGAACGTTTTGGTCTAAAAACAAAAAGCTATGTGTGGTGAAAAACTAACACTGCACATCACCCTGAACACACCATCCCCACCGTGAAACATGGTGGTGGCAGCATCATGTTGTGGGGATGCTTTTCTTGGGTAATCTTAGAAGAAAACCTGGTAGAGTCTGCAAAAGACTTGAGACTGGGTGGAGGCTCACCTTCCAACAGGACAATGACCCTAAACATATAGCCAGAGCTACAATGGAAAGGTTTAGGTCAAAGCATATTCATGTGTTAGAATGGCCCAGTCAAGGTCCCGACCTAAATCCAATTGAGAATCTGTGACAAGACTTGAAAATTGCTGTTCACAGATGCTCTCCATCCAATCTGACAGAGCTTGAGCTATTTTTGCTAAGAAGAATGGGCAGCCCAAATATGGCTATATAGTCAAATGAAGGTGACATCACTTGTTGGAGACTGAAGATCTGCATCTTCCTTTGTCAATACCCCAAATCCATAAATCTGAATGTATACTCCTTATGTCACCTGCTACACGCACAGGTGTCAAACTGGCGGCCCTCCAGCTGTTGCTAAACTAGAAGTCCTATGAGGCATTGCAAGATTGACAGTTACAAGCATGACTCCCAAAAGCAAATCTCGATGGGACTTGTAGTTTTGCAACAGCTGGAGGGCCACCAGTTTGACACCCCTGTGCTACAGGGAGCTAATAGGGGTGCAAGTAATCAACTAATCAGACTGGTCAAAAACTTCCACTGGTTGAGGAGCAGAAAAATATATGAGCCTTTAACAGGGCACAATGATCCTGGTGTTGGCTGTCGTTTTTCTAGGCATCACTAGACATCACTGTTCACTCTTATTTTTCCTTTGTTCATTTATGTGGGTTCCTTTTATGGGTAGTCCCTCTCAGCAGTTTCTAGGTAGCCATTATTTCTATCAATTGTGCTCCCTGTGAGGAGCTGGGGGGAGGAATCAGGAAGGCCTGCATGAGAAGAGAGCAGGGAGCACATTTTAGCCCATATGGTTGTATTTTCTAGGGAGTAAAGTGAGAACTTTTCTCTTTCGGTGGGCAGGACCAGGACTATATAGAGAACCCCTGTGGGCTTCTGCCCTGTTTGGGGGGGGGGGGAGGGATGGAGCAATTTCCCTGGTTATTGGTCAGGCTGGACTAAGTCGTGATTGATAGAACTAATGTATAAAGGGACACGTGTGTTTTTCCCTTTCAGGGACCACCAAGAGAAACAACTATAGTTAGTATACAGCAGTTTAGTTATGCACAGCATCATAAGCACCACAGTAGCCCTCCAGAAACACAACGATGATGTAACACACACCTCAGATTCAAATGTTCTTGCCTTAGGGTTTACTGTGTTTTTGAGACAATGGCCAAGTGCCATTTACTCTGCAAACCATTAAATGGAGGAGGTGATGTCACTACTCCCTCTAGGCTTCAACATCATTCAAAAACAGGCTGCAACAGAGGAAATACAGCAGGAGGATCTCTGGAAAAGGAAGCATCAGTGAATCGCTTTAGCCAGACACTGTCCCTTTGTGGGTTATTACCTCTGTAAGGCTAATTTCACACTGATCCATAACAAAAACACGGTAAAAATGCATGTGTTTTTGCCGTGTTTTACCACGTTTTAGGTGCGGTTTTTACAGGACATGTGACTCAAAAACCACCTGCGATTTTTGCCACATTTTCTATGCATTTCAATGGGGTGATGTTTTTTTGATGCATTTTTTTCTGCACCAAACCTGCATCAAAAATGCAGCAAGAGATATTTTACTAAACCCAGCGGACCTGCAACAGATCAGTGTGAAGAGTTCCACAGGATTACAAGGTCACGCATTTTTGTAAACAATATATATCCTGTAGAGAACATATATCCTATTTTTTTCCCTGATTCCTGTCACATGGGCAGGAAGTCAGAAGAGAACTCCCCAATGGTGGCACAGACAGCGGTTTTCACTTTTTTCCAACTTTGCCAGAAAAGCCCTTGTTTTACTGTCTGTGCCCCTTTATTGAGATATACCCCTTTCCCCTGATCTTTCTGACAGCTGTTAAAAGACAAAAAGTGAGATGAAATCTCCAACATAGGAACACCGACAGCCATGAAACATTGTTAGAAGTTTTAATTGTTTTGCAATCTATCCAAAACCAAGAAAAAAAAATAGCTAGAGCTATATGATGTATGGAATGCGCTTTGGCAAAATAAAAGGGTTACTGCATGTGGGAATATAGAAATCTGTCTTACAAAACATAAAATGTTTACTTTCCCTCTAAGGCAATTTGGAAAAGAGCTCCATGTATACATTTTTCTTTTTTAGATGGCAGGTCCTCTTTAGTGGCACTGCTGATGATTTATTCCGCATTTCTGAAAATTTCAAGCCGAATTTTATTAAATATAGTTGGTATTGATTCTCTTCTTTGCTAAAAATACCAATGCAGCAAACCTCTGCCTTCTGCAGGAAGACCTGCTTTTAAAGCAGTGACCTTTTTCAGCTATGGGAAATGCCCCTTTCCAGTAATAATTTCTGCACTGAACCAAACTACCAATTAAAACCCACAGCCAATCTGACGGCAGCCATCACAATCAATGTAAAGGTCTCATTACTCTGGATTTATTAAACAACTCTTCTGAATAACCTAAGGTTGGATTTTACCTTATTAGCTCCAGTAGCTCATTGTAAGTGGGAAGCTTCTTCACATCTTCTTCTAAGGAGATATCTCTATGAAAGAAAGAAATGCATAAGTAATGTCTTTAGCATTACTAAGATGTGGAAGGTCACCAGAGCATCACCCCTTACTATAGTTACCTGATGTGACACCTGTCATAATCGTGAAAATAGCAACGCAGCCAGCTCACTGGAAACTTCTCTTCTGGTAGGTCTTTGATGATTCTCACAAAGGATTGTGGGAAAATACCTACTCGATCAGCCACTGTTCCCTGGAAACCAGAAGAAAGTTATGTGAGGGAAGTATACGAAAGCATGCCATTATCCTCTGATATATAATTATTATTTTACTAAGTTCTGTCCAACAGTTATGATTAGCCTTACATGGGCAGGAAATTCCCAGAAAAAGATGACAGTCAGATATCTGCCCCTTGTCTGTAGTGCCAGGACCACCACTTTTTCTTACCCAGTGGGTGTATCAGAGACTTTGCAACAAGTCCAACAACCAAAATCTAGGAATCAGAATAGCCTGTCATTTTACTGTAGGGTAGTGCTACAGTATACATTAGATTAGCCATTGGATCAGCTTTGATTGCCAGACTAGCAGCAACGTTAGTTGCTGCTACATATGGAAAGAGTGGGTCAGGGGTCCCTGATGAAGTCCCCTGGCTGTGACATAATGCATAGGGAGTGACCTGAGGCAGACATCGGATTGTAAGTGCCACATGTGGAAGTGCATTCCGGTCTCCCTGATCGTTTTACTGTATTTTTACAAGTTTTATTGATGTAAGTTCATTACTTTTTAATACACTTGATATCATCTTCATACTACACTTTTGGAGGCCTTTCTCTTTCCCCTCATTTGGGCGAGATGAATAGGGCTATATGAATGCAAGAGATCCTTAAAGGGACCCCAACCTGTCTATAGCTGAAGCAATGGGAACACATGGGGAGGACCCCTTGTGGGCAACAAGTGTTGGAGGAGTTATCCAGGGGAGGAATCTTGATGTACCAACATTGATAGGTCTATGTACATCTCCATGGAGTTGAGAGTTCTGTGAGCACTAAGGTGTTGGAGGTGGCAAAAACGGGACACACTCTGATATATATTTGAGCACTATTACGCATGGTATTAGTTTTCAGAATCACAAAAGAAGAGTTATATCACTAATGAATGGCTACATACTGAAATATTTTATTACTTTTTTTTTTGTTTAAGTTATGATTTAGTTCCATGTGGAATAATAGCCTTAGGTATACTCACGAGAGAGGTGGGATTTATGATTTATGTTTTAATTTATGATATTTGGTATTTTATCCTTGTGCAAATTTGCATTTACTTGGATTCATTTGACTGGTATTTATTTGTGGACACAATAATTTTATTAAGGTATTGATCCACTGGATATTGTTACCCACTAGTATAGAACATAATTCACTTATTCATTGTACTTACAGCAGTGCAGCATCATAAAATTATATACTGCTTTATTCTTCTATGGGAACACAAGCACATGCTAGCAGCAGCTGTGAACGCTTTATTATACTCATTTGTATATTCACTTACTTCTATTACACACTTGTAGGACAAGAGGTACACTTTATTATACATATGGAAAGAACTAACAACCATTCATTCAGGGCACTAGGTCACATGAAACCAGTGCTGGTCTTGCAGGAGATTCAGTATAGTGAAGAATTTTGTTTAAAAACCATATTCATAACTGCTGATAGAGGGATGAACTAATCTCATGAGGTGCTGCCTCATATTTAGCAATGGGGTGTCTACTGAGACATTGTGGATGTGCATGGTTGAAGAAGGGATTGCCCAAAAGTTTAATTGTTTTGGCTCAGAGTAATTAGACCCACCTATGTATAGTTAACCTCAACCAAAACTAGATATTAATTTAAGACTACAAGTATCAGTCACAGATTGGATGTATGTCCAAATATATAACCAGTAGACAGGTGGCAGTATTATATTGACACGTGGGTTAGACTTACTAAAACTGATGCACTCAGAATCTGGTGCAGCTGTGCATGGTAGCCAGTCAGCTTCTAATTTCAGCTTGTTCAATTAAGCTTTGATAATAAAACCTGGAAGCCAGTTACTATGCAAAGCTGCACCAGATTTTGCACACTCCAGTTTTAGTAAATCCCACCCAGGATGAAAGGGCAGTGCTCTCATTTAACATTTTTATTAATTATTATCTCTATAAAATATTTATTTTTTCAAATATATGACATGACTTTTGGTTTGTAGAGGATGTTATGCTTTATATTACAGTGGAGTTCCACTCACATTGTAAAGAAATAAAAGTCATCAAGTACAAAAACTGTTTAAAAAACAGCCACTTGCCTGTCCCACGATCCCACGGTATCCTCCCCGCGGCCTGTTTCACCAGCCGCCCTGTGTTCCAGACGCCGGCATCTTCAGTGTGGGTACCCGGCTGTGACAGCTTGCTGCATCACAGCAGGGTGCCCACTGTGCATGCATGAGCAGCACTGCGCTTCCTGAATGGCCCCATAGTCTTCTGGGACCTGTCACGTGTCCCAGAAGACTACAGGGAGGGAGGGTAGGAGGACAACGTCCGCTTCTGTTTGCCTAAATGATATCAGCGGAATTGGGAGCAGGTACCTCTCAATTTCGGGTACCCGCTCCCCAAAGGTGACAATCCTTCATGGGGGGCATGGTACCAGTCTTTAAAGTGGAACTTCCCCTTTTTGGTGGAACTCCGCTTTAAGAAAGTCCAGAATGTGAAACTGCATAAAGTATGAGTGCTGATTCACACATGTGAGGTGAAGCTCAGGTTTCATAGCTAATTGATACAGTAGTTGTTCCTGAACCAGACCGCACTGCTCAGAAATCATACAGCACTCTTTTTCAATCCGCATTGAATCTGCACTGCCGGTGCACTGGACATACACTAAATTGCCAAAAGTATTGGGATGCCTGCCTTTACATGCACATGAACTTTAATGACATCCCAGTCTTAGTCCGTAGGGTTCAATATTGAGTTGGCCCACCCTTTGCTGCTATAACAGCTTTAATTCTTCTGGTAAGGCTGTCCACAAGACAGTTGGTGACTTCTGCGCACTGTGTGCTTCAGCATACGCTCACCCCTGCTCTGTCATTTTATGTGGCCTACCACTTTGTGGCTGAGTTGCTGTTGTTCCCAGTTGCGTCCACATTGGTATAATACCACTAACAGTTGACTGTGGAATTTTTTAGTAGCAAGAAAATTTCACGGATGGACTTCTTGCACAGGTAGCAACAAATCAAGGTGGCACGCTTGAATTCACTGAGGTCCTGAGAGCGACCCATTCTTTCACAAATGTTTGTAGAAGCAGTCTGCATGCCTAGGTGCTTGATTTTATACACCTGTGGCCATGGAGGTGATTGGAATACCTGAATCCAAAGATTTGGGGGGTTGTCCCAATACGTTTGGTAATATAGTGTATGTGAACAGGCACCATAGGAAGCAATGTTATTTCACATGTCATGCGGATTGGATATGGTTCAAACCGCATCCAATCCGCATATATGTGAACCGCAACTGAAACTGACATAAAGCTCTGCCTGCTTTTGGCATTTACAAAAACAGTAAAATGTATTACAAATGTATTACAAAAATGTTAGAGACTCATTTTAAATAAAGGTTTCCCAAAGGTATCCACAAGTGATGACTGAATGTGCTAAATTTCAATTTAACCAGATTTTTTTTTAATTAAAAAAAAAAATCAAGGGGCAAAAAGAAGAGTGTACCCCACCACTGCAGAACTCACACACAGTTCACTAAATCACCTACTCTAACTTTCTACAATTGAACCAGCTTTTCCTGTCCTCTGAGTATCATTGACTCCAACACACACTGACCCTATGGCTGCTCTCAGTCTCCACTCTTGTAATGAGGGAACTGGATTGCAGCTCCCATGTGGGCTGCTGTGAAGCTACTGGCCAGGGTCTAATGTTGCACATGGCAATTGTATGCTGGCACCTAAATTCGACATTTACAAATTCAATCAAAATTTCAAAAAAAGTTTATATTCAATTCCAGAGATGCATGTAGATCTTGGTGTTCAACATGAATTAAACTAAGCACTTTATAGGATAAGATCTGGGGATTCTGAGATGGCATTAAGAACATATAAAGGAATCAGTAGGTACCTTGTTATACCTGTTTTTTTTTATATTGAATTTAGAAAACATTGCATGCATGGTAAAGTAACAGATTTACTTATAAGGTCTTTCATATATTCTTTTCCCTGTAGCCATACAGTCCTTGCCTTTTCTCACCTCCAGCCAGTCTTTGTTTACTCGACCCAGAAGATATATGAGTTCTCCGCTCTTAAAGTTCAACTCTTGAGCAGCAGTTCCATTAAAGTCAAATAAAGCCTGCACGCGACAAACAGAGGTATCAGAAAGTCATGTCTTTAAAGATGCACACATAAAGGTATATCTATACATTTAATGGTGTTGGGGAATTCAGAACATGGCTTCATTCGAGTTACAGGCCTGGTGGTGAAGGTTTTATTCCCTTTCAGCTCCTCCAACGATGCAGAGAGTAAATAAACAAGAATTTCTTAGCTAGTATGGCTAAATAAAGAGACTTTGGTGGAACACAATAAATTTCTAACAGCTTTCTGGAAGTAGTTTCTTTAAGAACTACCTGCTCCTAATTCAGGCAAGCATTTGCACCAGTGTCAGTAATATTACTGACACATGCAGCAAATTTGGTACATTGTATAATCGCCACTTTTTTAACCTGTCACTATGGCCGTGACAGATTCTTCAAGAATTGCCACCAGTTCTCAGGTTAAGAATCTGGTGCTAGTTAAGACCATCTCTGGCCTGACATAAGGAGATACTCCAGAATTCAGGGAGCTGTGCCTTTGCTGGGAAGCAGTCATGTATGTGCCAGTTTCTTGCATAGTATTGTATCCCCGGCCTCATTCAACTGTCAGCTGAGAGATTCCCCAGGTGAGAGCAGGATGAAAACAAAGGGGCCAGGGATATTGGTGATATCATTACCCAAATATGGCAATGGCCATATTTGAGAAACTACTTGTCACTCGGTGGCTGGAGCCTGATGAGGAACTGAGAGACTAGTTTCCCATCAGGTCTGCTTTACTTTTGATTGACAGCACATGGCAGTGGGCAGATTCGATAGCTACTATTCAACTGAAAAGTGGCTATCAATTCGCCCACTTATGTGCACTGTCAATCAAAAATAAATCAGACCTGATGTGTAACTAGTCTCTCAGTTCCCCATCAGGCTCTGCCCACCCCTAATACATAACTACTTGACCATGCGCCTGTTAGGGTGATGAGTCAGTGGGGGGGGGGGAGGAAGGGAGTGCACTGAGGAAAGAGTGTCCAGTGTGGACACCACCCTGTGACAGGTACACGAATCAGGCACAATCATCAACACCCAATTTTAATTCCCCTGGCTGTCTTTTGGAGTTTTGGATGTCTAGAGTGTTACATAAGTGGATTTGGCTGGGGGTATGAGGGTTATGTCATATGTTAATCAGATAATTTGCCTAAATGATCAAAATTGTATAAATTTATCCCTGAAAAGTAAATGATCTAGCCTTTTCCTCTTTTTTGTTAAAATGCCAAATAAATATGTTAAATAAACTCAGATTATATATTGGACTGGGTTTCTCAGAACACTAACAAAATCACAGTGTAAAGTTTGTGTACCTCTACCTAAGTACTGTAGAAATGTATTTTAATATCCGGCATTGCTCCACAGCATACCTGCAATAGTCACCATAGACTCAAATCTCAATCTGACATTCATCAAAAATTCACTGTTGGTGAATCTTCCATGTGTTTTAAGTAACAGTGATTGATCATCACCACTAAAACGCTTGGTGAAAGTAACATTCAGTGCGTTATAAATACATCCGACAAATAAATCAAAACTTTCCTCAACTCCATATATTTTTTCATTAGGGAATTTTGTTTTGTTTTCATGTAATTACTTGTTGTTAAAGCTTGCTTTTTTATTTCACAATTAAAAAAATATTTCCTTATTTATTACCTATGTTTAAAGAAGATTTACTGTATGCATGCACAAGGCAGTAAAGATTAAAGAAGATGTACTGGGTGTTTCTCAGAATATTTACACACAATGCCGTGAGCAAAAAACATTTACTATTGCCTGCCAAGTTGAATATACAAATTAGCTTGTGACTTTAAATGATGATTGTCAGTATAATGCGAGTAATGGATAGAGAATATATACTGTAGGAGCTTTGACAGACACCTTATAAAGCTTATAAAGTTTAGCTAAAGCAGAACTTCATCCAAAAAGGGAAGTTCCGCTTGATTGCATCCTCTCCCCCTTCACTGCCACATTTGACACTTTTTGGGGGGAACAGGAGTAGGTACAGCACAAAAGGACAATACTTATAATTAAAGGAGAAGTTCACTTTTCATAACATGTTAAACCCATATTCAGGGTGTCACAGGTAACACGTTACGAAAGGACTGGCCCCCATTCCTCCCTGCTCCCCATTGTGACAGCTAGCGGGGGATCTTCTCCTCCCTGTCACAATTTTAAAAAACCATGGCCATGCGGCCACGTCATTCATTTATGATGTTCTGTGAATGAATGAACTACAAGTCCCGACAGCATTTGCAGTTGTTGGCTTGTAGTTCTCAATGAACTACCACAGCACTATGGAGCTATGGATGCAGGTGTGATGATGCTGCTGGGTTTTTGTGCATTTTGGTGTGTCACATTTAGACCCGCCAATTTGTTTCAGCCTAGTTTCACACTTTTGCGGTGCGGCATATCGCATGTGATTTGCACAAGAACCGCACCGCATTCCTGTGCAAATCACATGCAAATTCTGTGTGGTGCGATTTGAGCTATACATTTTGTACAGCTCAAATCGCACTACATCCACACCAAAAAGGTGCAGGACCCTTTTTTTAGTCCGCACTAGAATCAGATCGCATGGGTATTCACACCCATGCGATCTGATTCTACACATCACACTGCGTTTTGCAAACCGATTTCGGGGTGTTGCTAACTTAACATACACAACCACAGTGGTTCATATGAACAGGGTGCAATTTTAATGCAATGCAGAATTCACACAGAACACAGAAACCGCACCGCATCAGTGTGAACCCAGGCTGAATGGACTGCCCTATGTATGAAAAATCACACCAAAGAAGTACAAGCATCTTTTCCTTAGTTACCATGTATTTTTTGCATTATTTTGCATGTGCATCAACAAGGTTCATTGGGCTGCCAATAAGAATTATTGAGACATCTGGGGTCTATTAGACCCCTGATATTTCATCTGCCCTCCATTGAAGCTAATGAAGTGTGGATCGTGCTTTGTTAGATTCTTCCCTGGCCACAGCGACCAGGGAAAGTGACACCTAAAACCTGAAGTGATGTTATACTTGTTGCTCCTGGGTTGGGTTTTTTGCAACTAGTGGAGATCATGGTCTTTCTCCCATCCACCCCTCGTCCATACAGGTTCTGGGCTCTCATGTGGGACAACGGAGACATGAAGCATCGCTGAGGGAAGGGCACAGTTCTGAGGGTCATCATAAAACTAACAGTTAGCTTGTGACACATACATACATTCCTGTGACACATCCCCCCTCGCCACCATGCCAATGCACCAATGTATAAATAAACTTTAGTGGCAGTAACACATTTTAATTGGCTTTCCTGTACAGCATAAATTACAGATTCCCCCCTCTCCCCCTTTCTCTCCCTCTATTTTCTCTCTCTCCCCCTCTCTCTCTTCTCTCTCTCTCCCCTCTCCCTCCTCTCTCCTCCTCTCTTGCTACCCCCCCCTCACTCTCTCTCTTCTCTCCCCCCTCTCTCCCTCCCCCCTCTCCTCTCTCCCTCTCCCCTCCCCCTTTCTCTCTCTCCCCGGCTCCTCTCTCTCTCTTCTCTCTCTCCCTCTTTTTCTCTCTCTCTCTTCTCCCCCCTCTCTCTCTCTCCCCCCTCTCTCACTCTCACTCTCTCCCCCCCCATATCCCCCCTCTCTCTCCCTCCTCCCTCCTCCTCTCGTTCTCCCCCTCCCCCCCTTTCCCCCCCTCTCTTCTCCCCCCTCTCTCTCTCTCTCTCCCCCTCTCTCCCTCCCTCCCTCCCTCCCCCTCTTCTTCTCTCTCTTCCCCCTCTCTCCCCTCCCTCTCTCTCCCGCTCCCCCCCCTCTTCACTCTCTTTCCCCCCTCTCTCTTTCTCTCTCTCTCCTCCTCTCTTTCCCCCCCTCTCTCTCCCCTCTGCCCTCTCTTTCTCCCTCCCTCTGCTCTCTCCCTCCCTCCCCCCTCTCTCTCTCTCCCTCCTCTCCCACCCCCTCTCTCTCCTATCTCTCCCCCCCTCTCTCTCTCTCTCCCTCCCCCTCCCTACCTCCTCTCTCATCTCTCTCTCCCCCTCTCTCTCTCTCTCTTCTCCCCTCCTTCCCTCCCCCTTTCTCTCCCCCCTCTCTCTCTCTCCTCCACCCCCCCTCTCCCTCTCTCTTCCCTCACTTCTCTCCCCCCTCTTTCTCTTCTCTCTCTCCCTCCCTCTCTCTCCCCTCTCCCTCTCCTCTCCCTCTTTCTCCTCTCTCTCTCCCTCCTCTCTCTCTCTGATTGGTGTCAGTGGGAGGAATAGTGCCCCATCATTAGTGCCAGTGTGGGAGGAATAGTGCCCCATCATTGGTGTCAGTGTGGAAGTAATAGTACCCCATCGTTGGTATCAGTTGGACGAATAGTGCCCCATCATTAGTGCCAGTGCGGGAGGAATAGTGCCCCATCATTGGTGTCAGTGGGAGGAAGTGCCCCATCATTAGTGCCAGTGTGGGAGGAATAGTGCCCCCATCATTAGTGTCAGTGTGGAAGGAATAGTACCCCATCATTGGTGTCAGTGGGAGGAATAGTGCCCCATCATTGGTGTCAGTGGAAGGAAAAGCGCCCCATCGTTGCCAGTGGGCGGAGCTCTAATATGAAGAGGTGGAGCCTATACAGGAGAGGGGTGGGGTTTACAGATGAAGGGGTGGATCTTAAACACTTAAACAGGAAGGGGTGGGACACATTTAGATGCGGGGGGTGCCCGATTTTAGTCTTGCCTAGGGCAGCACAAAACCAAAATACACCACTGGCTATGGTCCATAAAGGAGAACAGCTGCCAGTCCAGGCAAAGCTTTTTTAGTTTTGAATGCCGTGTGGAAGGGTGAGAACCTACGTAAGTTTTGTTTACCTTGTTATTGAGATTTCCCGTCAATTCCAAGCTCAATGACAACAATCACTGGCAAGGTAAGTAAAAGAAAAGTCCCCTAACTCAGACAGACAGTAACAAACTAGCATTTTCAGAAGAAGGTTAATAATGTCAACTGAGCTGTATCTTTCACTGCTACAGAATTCCTTGAAGCACTGATGGGTTCAAGTGGCACCTCTGCTTCTTATATTACAGCCACCATTATTGTTCTATGTTAGCAATTTTGTCTTCATTTTGTATACAATAAAGTTATTATAAAACCTAACAAGAAAAAGGATTCTGCATTCCCAAAGCAGCCAGAGCTATGATTGGATGCAGTTGGCAGCAGAGACATTTATACACCAAAAAATTTATAAATCAGCCAATACAATCTGACCTCTGCTCTTGGTCGCTCCATTTCTGAAATGTGTTGGGAATTTTTCTTACTGTTGAGAAACAAAATACACACTCTCAGATGATGCACATTCCTAGCTGATTTTGTTCAGTATATATTGAACCTAAAGCACAACAATACATTTGCCAATTTTTTATACTCCATGCTTGTGTACATGAGAGAGATGAAAACAGAGGTTGATAATCCTGCGGATCCTAACTACAAAATGTTTTTCTCTTGCCTTGCAGTTGTTAGCAATTGTAGTGCCCATACACCGATCTTCACACCTGCATATTGGTTATTACATAATTACATAGTTAGTCTGGCTGAAAAAAGACAAAAGTCCATCCAGTTCAACCATTAACCTCCCTGGCGGTATGATTATTTCAGATTTTTGGTGCTGAAAGCGGTACCATTTTTTTGCATGGAAATATGTATTTTTTTTTATTGTAGGCTGTAATTTTTAGGAAAAACTCACTGAAATCTGTTCCGAACAAGAGTCTAGTAAACATCCCGGGTAGGATAAAATTTGAAACACAAAATCATAAATTATAATTTAATAAATAATCATAAAAATAATATAAAAATAATAAAAAATTTAATTCAATAATATAATCAAACCAAAAACACTGAAATGTGAAATAGAGCGCCAAGTTCGCACATTGCTGAGCTCAGTCGCAAAATCGTTTTCAGTTTCTGATGACGAATTTCCCCCACGAATCATTATCACTCAATTCTGTAAATGGTTCTGATTTACTATCGCTGTTCTCTAGCTGATCTAAACCGCTTTTGACCTAAAGGGACACTTTTTGGACGCCATGGACATTTCTCAGTTTCCAGGCAGAAAGAACAGACAAAATGCAGGCAGGGCACAGGACAAAGCACTAGGGACAATATGTATGTGAAATAGGTTGAAACAGCAATGTTTTACTGTGTAAAATGAAAAAAAAAAAAAAATGACATTTTTTTAAATTTTTTAAATTTCCCGCCGCCGGCGGCGGCGGCGCCCGTACGTCCCGACGTCACAGGGACAGGACACAGAAGCCGGATGCCGGCATCGGCCGAGGAGATGGCCGGGGACGCTGCAGGGGACACATCGTGGGAGCGCAGGGTAAGGTAAGTGAAGAACACATGCCGGAGCAGCGCCGCATGGTATTCCCGAGTGTAGCTCGGGGTTACCGCTTTTGGTACTGAAATGTTACCCCGAGCTACACTCGGGAATACCGCCAAGGAGGTTAAGAAAAAAAAAAAAAAAGTTCTAATCCTGCACCCACAGTTGATCCAGAGGAAGGCAAAAAACCCAGCAAAGCATGATCCAATTTGCTCCTGCAGGGGAAAAAATTCCTTCCTGATCCCCCGCGAGGCAATCGGATATTTGCTGGATCAACTTTACTTATAAATGTTAGCAACCAGTTATATTCTGTGTATCCAAGAAAGAATCCAGGCCTTTTTTTAAAGCAATCCACTGAGCTGGCCAGAACCAACTCTTGAGGGAGTCTATTCCACATTTTCACAGTTCTTACTCTGAAAAAACCTTTCCGTATTTGGAGATTAAATTTCTTTTCCTCCAGACATAAAGAGTGCCCCCTTAAACGGCATTAGTGGCTGTCTATGGACTTCTGTTTATCTCTATGGTAAATGGAGGTTACTGCAGGACATACATTAACCACTTCAATACCGGACACTTTCACCCCTTTCCTGCCCAGGCCAGTTTTCATCTTTCAGCGCTGTCACACTTTGAATGACAATTGCATGGTCATGCGACACTATACCATATGATTTTTTCAGCATTTTTTCACACAAATTGAGCTTCCTTTTAGTGGTATTGAATCACCACTGAGTTAATAATTCTTTGCTAAATAAATTAAAAAAGACTAAGCATTTTGAAAAAAAAAGCATTTTCTTTATTTCTGTTATAAAATTTTTCTGATAAATAATGTTTCTTCATACATTTAGGCCAAATGTATTCTGCTACATTTCCTTAGTGAAAATAACCCAAAGTGTATATTATTAAGTCTAAAGAAAAGTTATAGTTACTGTATATCTGAAAATCGGTCAATCCTGATGTACTGACAGCCTCATGTCTTTAGGTCTGAAAAAGCCAGGAGAGTACAAACATCCCCCAAAGGAGGTATTTAGTAAGAGGTATGGTGAGTTTTTTGAAGTTGTAATTTTTTGTTACAATTTTTTGAAAAATTAAGACATTTTTAAAAATTGGGTTTTTTTTTCCACAATTTTTTTTTTCTGTCTCTAGCGCAGTACAGTGTCATCATATAATTGCTATGTGATAAGAGATAAACACAATAGTACACAATGAATGGCAAGAATGGAAGCTATTCATTATGTACAATTGTCATGTGATCTGCTGTGACTGATCACAGTGATCACATGGTATTAGCAGAGGCCCGGTACACTGATCTGTCATCCACCAGTGGGCTGTGGGACACAGTGGGCTGCAGTGCTGCCCGTGGGGGGAGTGTGAAGCACGATCCTAGAGGATGTCACATGACGTGCATCCAGGACAGCAGTGGTCCTGCCTGGCCCTCATATTACAATAGACTGGGTGGGAATCGGTTACAGACAAAGTTTAGGTATGGATATTTTTGCATAGTTACATTGGTCCAGCTTGGTCCAGTGTTAATAGGGATATCCTGGCCAATCCCTGTGAAAGCTGGAAAATTCTGCAGTAAGCACTGTTACTAAGAAAAAAAATTCAAATTCAAAAGCAAACACCAGAAAAAAAGTGGGGGGGAGGGGGAAAGAAGGGGAGAGAGGGAAGAGAAAAAAAAATTATAAAAATATTATCCACCCCCTGCTCCTCCGTGACTGATGAAAGAGCGGACTCAGCTCATCCCGCTCATGCTCAGAAACGCTTCACACTTTTATGACGTCAGACGCCACACGGGCCGATCCCAGACATCTTGGAGACTCTGCCAGGCTTCACCATCTATGCTGCATGTGCACAGCACCATCTGCTGGCAGACACTTTGGAGATTCCACCAGGCTTACCATTCATGTTGCACATGCAGAGCACCACCTGCTGGTGGACTCAGTCGATCTCCTCTCTGGATCAGTCACACAAACATCTGGCTATAGACATCTCACCCTCTTACCCATGAGCCTGTTTTTATATTCTAAGATGTGAGTTACTACTTATCTTTTTATTAAATACCTTCACAGTACACACATAGAGGTGTGCTGTGTTTCTTTGTTTCCGTTCTGCAGAGTTATGCTTCGCTCCTTCGCAGCTTGCCCTGAGTACTTACTGGACTACCCTTAACATTGCCTACCCTTAACACTGCCCACATGGAACTCATCAATACATACATGGACTGCCACACCATGCTCCTGTTATCCCTTTTGTATAATTCTCTTGAGGAGGTGAGTGAAGCTGATCCAAAATAGATCAGATTGGAGAGGTGAGATATATATTTTCCTGCTACACTTCTGGTGGAAGAATCTTTCATCAGTAAAAATGGAAGTTTTCAGGGTTTGTTCACACCATATATCCTTTGAGCTGCACACCACTACACACCACCAAAAAATTGTTTGGTTCCCTATTGATACCTATTGTGCATAAAAATGCAGCTTAGTCAATATGGTGTGAACAAACCCTGAATCTCTCTTTATAGCACTTAAAAGAAAATATTGAGACACAAATTCTGTGAGCAGCTGTAAAGAGATGAACACTTAGATCTAGTCTTTGCTTTATACATTGAGCATTCAAATGTGACAGGGTGTATCCAAATATGGAAGAAGGGGTAAGAAAGAGGGGTGGCTGCCTTATGCACAGTGGTTTACTGTATGGATGGGAGCACCAATTTATTTATTTTATTTTTTTTTTTTGTGTGTGTTGTTGTTTGTTTTCTCTCACGTGTGAATTGTGCACGTTTAGGAGTTCGCATGTTACACCAGTATCAAGGTTCATGTTTGTATGTAGTTTAAAGAGTAATACACTATCTAAAGTTTTTTGTTTTGGAGGTACACGACGATTTTGAAAGTCTACACTGGAATACGTGCAAGATATTTTGGAATATTTACACAGAGACTTTTGGAATTTCTGTTGGACAATGTCAGTTGTGGGACATTTATTTAAATATTATATTATTTAAAATTGTAATTTATTTCATGTGATTTGGGATGATTTAGACATTATTTAAATTTATTGGGGTATTGAGAAAAGGTGATATAGAATTTACATACTTTCAAGAGTGAAAGGTTTACTTTTCTTGTTTGGGATAATTTTGAATTATTTTTAGGAAGTGCACGGATTTATAGATATTGGGAACTGATTAACTGACACTGACATCTCTAGTGACACAAATACAGTAATCAGTGATAATACTGTCACTGTCCTAATTACACTGGCTTGGAAGGGGTTAACATCTAGGGTAATCAAGGGGTTAAATGTGTGCCTAACAAGTGATAATGTGCATAATTTGTACTGCATTTTACTAAATATCTTTGTCTCCTTTTGCAGGGAGAAGAAACAGAGAGATTGTTCCCTCTGTACAGAGCCCTGTGTTGATTGTCAACACAGGGCTCTGGGCTGTGATTGCACACAGCTGATAAGAAGGTCCCAGCCATGAATCATTGACCGTGACCTGCTGACAAACTCCTGCTGTGTAACCACAGCGTGTGTGAACATGTAAGGATAGAGAAGAGAGGGGCGCTAGACTAAGTGCAGCATTAAAAGGTATCTTTTTATTGCAAGGTGAAACAATGGCAACTCACTAGAAGTGAAATAAGATCAGGCATTTCACCCTGGACCTTGTCCTGCATGGGTCCCGGGAGCCGATGGAGAGGGAGCAAGAGTATGTAATGCAGGAGCTGCAGCGATGAACAGGTATGTTGCTGTGCATGTACGGGGTTGTCCATCTGCAGTACATTGTGGGCAGGCAGTCCGTAAGTGGTTACACTGGCCTTTGGTATTTATGTCCATGGCCAGCCATTCACTGTGCTGCGATGAGAAGCAGAGAATGTCCTCTTTCATTGCAGCTTCATAAACTGCTCCCCAGGGAAGATAAGCCTCCATAATCATTATCGCAGCTTATCTCTGCTTAATATACATACACCATAATAGAATAAGATAGGTGAATAGGAATTAAACTTCAGAACAGCTGCCACAGCCACATGGCGTTAGTTAATCTTAGCGATGACTGCATGTTTTAGCATGCATGCTCTAAGGGCCTGTTCAGACCATTGCATTGGCACGTCCATGTGATACAATTCATTGGTAATGGAATTGAGGGTTTAGCTTGTGTGGTTCCCCATCAGGTCTGCTGTGTAGGCTTAGTGAGATCAGAATGTCATTTTAAGGGGTGGGGTTCTATTTATGTTGTATAGGAGGTTCTCTGCTAGGTCTGTCTCTTCTTTTTGGAGACCAGACTTTTTTTTTTAAATTAATTTGGTTTTGACTAGATGCAGACTGTATTTTGCATTGATCACATTTGCAGTTACTCATCATGCCCATTTATTGGCTGTTGTCTGATTTGCTCATGATGTATTGATGTAGCAGTGTCCATTACTGAATTACTAGATTATGGATACCAATCATTTTACACAAACACATCATGAACCTATTCACTAAGGCAAATGGCCATATGTGTGAAAAATGCAATAACTAATCAGATTTCAATTCCACAATTCCATCTTCTGAAAACTAAAAGCTGATTGAATGAAAAAGGGGGGCACAAATTAGGACCCACACACATGGGAATGTGGCTGCGGCTCATTAAAAAAAAAAATGTGGATTGACATTTTATGTTACTGCCCCTTTAAGACTAAGTTGGGCTATTATATGAACTTGCAGTGGGAAAAACTTGCTTTTCCAAAAGATTCTACAGCACGTGCAAGCACTATATAAGGACCCTATCTTTAGCCTCTCATCGCAGTTGATCGGGATTGACTCGACAAGCTCCCCTCCCTTCCACTCTGGTTGCTGACACTTTATGTGGTTTTGTCACCCTTGTATCAAGGGGGACATTGTTTTTTTTTTAAGATATGTTTATTGAGTTTTAACACACAAGACATACAAGAAATAAAAAAAAAACCAAGACAAAGGTCCAACAATTAAAGTAGTGAACAGTCAAAACATCTCACATTGCCTTACATGTCCAATATGTCAAAGTGTACAACAAACAAAATAATTGTATTCCAATTGAAAAAAAAAGGGGGGCTATACATAACTAAGCTTAACTAGAAAGAACTCACTCAAGATAATGGATCTATAGAGGACAAAGTAAGGGGATTGGAAAGCCATCTGTCCCATATTTTATGGAATACTTTGGATGTTTTCCTGAGCTCAAAAGTAAGTTATACAGGGGAAGGGAATCATTAACAAGAAGCCACTGTGGGTCGACTGGAACCCTTCCAGGACAACAGAATCATTTTTTTAGCATAGAAATACAATAACCGTAACAATCTTTTAATACATTGTGAGAGTACTAGATCCCCAAAAATGCCTAAGAGACAATTATTGGGAAATTAGATAGGCCCATTGTGGAGGTTATAAAGGAGACAGAATTCCCAGACTGTCGGACAGAACCAGAAACAATGCAGGAAGTCAGCCCTTTGTCCACAGCCGTTGAAACAATCTGCTGTTGGTAGTAAACCCATTTTATGTAACTGGGCAGGAGTAAGGTAGAAAGATAGAAAATTTTAAGTTGGATGATTCTATCTTTAGAGGGGATAACAGATTTATTGTAGGTATCACTGAATCTGGACCAGTCCACCTCCTCAAACGGTATGTCCATTGAAACCCATTTAGCCTGGGCAACCAGGAATCTAGGTTTGGAGTCCATCACTAGAGCAGAGTAATAAGTAGTGATCAATTTAGTAGGGTCAGGTTGTAGTAATAACTTTTCTAAATGGGTGATCTGTAAAGGATTATCTAAAGTCCCAAATTGTGTACACACTGCATGGCGGAGTTGATAATAAAAAAATTAGTGGGAGGGCAGGTTAAATTCCACTCCACTCTGGAAAGTCTTAAAACCCTGGGTAGTGAAAAGATGGCATAGGTATTAGAGTCCTCTAGAAGACCAATGTTGGGGGTCAGGCAAAGAATGGAGTTCTTGTAAAGTGGGATTATAAGGAGGGACATTGTTGAATTAATATTTATACTGTCTCACTAGAGTTCTATGACTGAGCTATAGGTTTTGATGTTTCAGTATTTATTGTATTTAATAAAGTTATTTTACATTTCTATTTTATAAACCAATAAAGGTGCCGCAGCCATTTAATACCACATATTTTGTTGTCTGTGTATTTAATATTAATGGTTGATGTTTTATTATTTAGGGAACAAATATTCGGTCTACAATCCCATGCTTTACTGAATAAGTCAGATAATGTCCTGAAATGGGTGCAATGCTAAAATGTCTGTATAGTAGGTGTAGCTATCATAGAGACCCTTATTAACTACATTTCTTAGTACAGTCACTGCAGGCTACCAATCAACACTCGTTGCATCCACTCAAACACCCAGTGTGTAATAAGCTGAGAGTGGATGGCTATTGTACTGTGTTTGGGTACCACTATCTCAAGATCATTTGCATTTATGTCAGGAAGTTATTTAAGAAGATTGAGATTGTATAACAAGGCTTACATTTTCCGAGTTGGAGGACGTAACCTGCGCAAAGCACGTGGGACCCCTTTACTGTCAAAGTCTGTCTGGTAGAAAAATATCCTAAGGTCATCATCTAGCAGAAGCCATACAGGGGAATTCAACAGGCCCTGTAAAATAATATTTTTTTTTGTTAGAAAATGCAGAACAGATTCTATGTACTGTCACTGCATTGAACATAAAATACATACTGAGTGACACAAATGCACAAATATCAAAATGCGTGTTTCATCCAGATCTGTGCAGTAACCCAATATGACATTTTGCCTTTGTGCAAGAGGAATGAAGACTGCTGCTATCTCACCTTGTGCAGTGACTGGTCTTGTATCCGTCCTCTCTTGTACATTTCTGAAGGCAGACTGTAGTGGATGTGGCCAACTGGTTTCCTCCTACAGTTTTGCTCTCTGCACAGGAATGATGTCACTGCTACTTTTACAAGATATAAATAAACAAACTGCTGGCGCACACTACTCTATGATAACAATCAATATAAGGAGAAGGAGCCCCCCCCCTCGCTACTCCACCCTGGCCTCATCCTCTTCTTCTTCCTCCACAGGCCCTTCGCTGGCACCTCCTGAGCTCACCCACCCTGCACAGCCTGGCACATACTGACAGCGGGCCCCAGCCCTCGATTGCTCTCTAAGTGCACAAGGGACCAGCCCACCACTCCGCCCTCCTCTGCAGCCGGTCCCCTGGCCCCTGCTAGTGTGTTGGCTTGGCTGCCCCCCCCCCTCCCATGGCAGTCCTGCCGCTCACAACCAATGTGTCCCTCCTGCCTGGGGGAAGCGCCACACCCCTTTAAAATGCTGACTAAGGCAAATGTCTTGTTTACCTCACGGCAAATACACCAGTGGGGGGGGGGGGTAGGAGGTAAAACCATGGCTCAGCCACCTATTTTTGCCATTCAGATGACCACAAGTGTAATCTAAGCCTAACACTCTGACACATATTAGCCCCCTAAATACCTAGAACCAGTGACCACTGGGGCATGGAAGACTAAGGCTGGCCATACACCAGTCATTTTTTTAATTCAGTCAGTGTGTTGAATGAAAGACATTGGGGAGATTTTCCCACCATCAGAATCCACTCATCACACCGGTGGCTATAGCTGGAGGTGTTGATTGAAAGAAAATTTGCCAACAGGTTGGTTGTACAGTAGTTGATTGATAGGTTGAATTGTGTACAGCCAGCCTGTCCATACATGGATTGAAATTCAGCTGGTCTTTGAGAGCCAGCCAAATTTCGATCCATGTACAGCCAGCTTAAAGTGGTACTAAAGCTTTCTTTTTTTAAATAACAAATATGTTATACTTACCTGCTCCGTGCAGTGATTTTGCATGAAGCAGCCCTGATCTTCTTTTTGGATCCCTGTTGGCCCTTCTGGCACCTTCCCTCAAGCAGTGCCCCCAGGGAAAGCCACTCGCCCAGGGGCACGGCTACGTGTTCATCCCCGAGCCACTTCTCTATGCGTCCCCACCCCCCTGCTCTCTCCTCATTGGCTCACTGGCTGTGATTGACAGCATCAATGGGCTCCCACTGCTGTCTCAGCCAAAGAGTCCATAGACAGCAGAGGCTGTCGAGAACGTTGCTGGATCAGAGGTGGCTCAGGTAAGGATTAGGGGGGCTGGGAGACCACTGCACACAGACTATTTTTTACCTTCATGCATAGAATACATGATGGTAAAAAACCTTGAGCCTTTAGAACGACTTTGAGGAAAGACTTGCTCCTATCTGCAATAAGCTCAAGGCATAATGCTTTAAAGATACTCCTTTCAGGCCTAGTCGATTGACAGAAGCTCAAGAACTACTGTTTAAGCCCCTTCACACTACAGTGTTTTGATTCATGGGCAGAATCACTGCAATTCCATTCGTGATTTCAAAAGATGTTACATAGTTAGTCTGGCTGAAAAAAGACAAAAGTCCATCTAGTTCAACCATATGAAAAAAAGGAAGGCAAAAAACCCAGCAAAGCATGATCAAATTTGCTCCTGCAGAGGAAAAAATTCCTTCCTGATCCCCGGATATTCTCTGGCTCAACTTTACCTATAAATGTTATATCCAGCTATATTCTGTGTATCCAAGAAAAAATCCAACCTTTTTTTAAAGCAATCCACTGAGCTGGCCATAACCAACTCTTGAGGGAGTCTATTCCACATTTTCAAAGCTCCTACTGTGAAGAAACCTTTCCGTGTTCGGAGATTAAATTTCTTCTCCTCCAGACATAAAGAGTGCCCCCTTGTCCTCTGTGATGACCGCAGGGTGAATAACTCTACACTGAGTTCACTATATGAACCACTGATGTATTTATACATGTTGATCATATCCCCCCTTAATCTCCTCTTCTCAAGAGAGAATAAATTCAGTTCCTCTGATCTTTCCTCATAGCTGAGCTTCTCCATGCCTCGTATCAGTTTGGTTGGCCTTCTCTGTACTTTCTTCAGTTTCCCAATGTTCTTTTTGTGAATTGGTGCCCAAAATTGAACTGCATATTCCAGATGAGGTAGTACTAATGATTTGTACAGGGGTAATATGATGTCTCTCTCTCTGGAGTCTATACCTCTTTTAATACAAGAGAGGATTTTACTCGCTTTAGAAACCGCAGTTTGACATTGCATGACATTATTAAGCTTGTGATCTACCAGAACCCCCAGATCCTTCTCCACCATTGATTCCCCCAGTTGTACTCCCCCTAGTATGTATGATGCATGCATATTCTTAGCCCCCAGTGCACAGCCTTACATTTATAAACATTAAACCTCATTTGCCACATTGTTGCCCAACTAAATAGCATTGAGGTCGGCTTGTAAGTTGAAGACATCCTGTAAGGACATTATTCCACTACACAGCTTGGTGTCATCTGCAAAGACTGAAATGGTATTTTTAAGTTTTAGGTTGGGCGACACACCTTGTGCAATGTGTGCAACAATCACAGCAGAACTGCACTGCGTGACACCTAAACACATGGTTCTCCAATTTATCATTTTAGCAGAACGTTTTGAAATCGGGGTGGGGTGGGGGGGTGGATTCGGGTCGATTCCACTAGTGTGAATGGGGCCTTAATGATCAGTGTTACGGGTTCTCTGAAAAAGAATATTGTTGTTGAGTACTGTGATTTTCCTAGAATATATTAGTGCAGATTTATAATTTTACTGAACAATCTTGTTCAGTCCAGCCATTGAACATCTGGCTCTTTGTCAGACTCGTCACTCGTTTTTAACTTACTGCACCTGTGACTTTGTTCTAACTGAGGTTCAAATTTCTGGAATAGCAAGTCAGATTTTCTGAGCGCAGCAAGTTTTTCAACTGTCAGTACGTGTGATTTGAAACTAAGGGCATTGTTTAACACAAGGACATAGCTTGAATACCAACACATAAGAAACCAATTCACAAAAGGAGAGCATTTGAATTCTTAATATCTGGCAGTACTAAAATGAATAAAGGAAAGTTAAGGAATGTCATATAAATTTCTTAAAATATATTAGCAAAGACTGAAGTTAAAAATCTAATTTCTAATGATATGAAATGAAATACCATATTAAGTTTTAAAATGATATAAGCTAAGTTAAAAACATTTAAAAAATATAGTACTTTTCAAGTAAATGAGAAAATGTAATTTTGGGGGGCAAAGCAACAGTGACACATTTAAAAAAAAATTTCAAGTGTCTTCACAGAGGTGTTGCCAGTATCAAACGATCTGTCATAGAGATATAGCCAATAAATTAATTTGCTTAAAGCAAATAGGCTGTTCACTTTGCAAGGGAATTTACCTCTTAGTGAACGTGGTGAAGTTTCACTTTGCAAAGAATACCCAATCACATGCAAGGAAATTAGGAAAAACATTATTTTGCTTGGACTTGATTGGATGATGGAAGTCAGCAGAGCTTCACCTAATTTGCTAAGCTCTGGAGAAACTTCCCTTGAAAAGTGCAACTTCATCTGAGTTCTGGAGAGACTTAAATGACTTGGAGACCGGTGAAATATTTGATTTGACCATTAAACGTGAATGAAGTAGGTCTAGGAGAAGGAGATTACGTTATTCATCAAGATCAGGGGATGACAGAACACCTAGTGATACTGATGAGAAGTAGAAAAAACAGTGCCTTTTTTAGATCAAGAAGCGGTAAGATGTGTAGACAAGGGCCCCCCGGAACCCCTACCAGACTGGACAGGAAAAGGGAAAATAAAAGACAAACCTACCCAAGACAGAAAGACACAAGCAGAAGTGTCAGAGGAGAGAGAAATAATGGGGAGTAGTGATATACAAATTTCTGACAGGAAAGTCATACACCTCTCAGATTCCCATTGGCCCCTAGACATACACACCTCCTACAAAGGGGGTTGTCTTTTTCAACAACTAGCAATATGGATGAATTTACAGTCTACAAAGACATTACTTTGTTCTTTGGAAAGTGTTTTAAGGTCATTATATGACCAAAAAGCCCCAACATTGTAAGCAGACGTACAGCTGGACAATGAGGATGAAGTAATGCTAGATATTTTAGCCTTGCTATTAGATAAGAATGAGGCCATGGAGGAACAGGTTACCACTTCCAGAAGACGAGCCACCCTAAAGATTTGATCAACAAGGATGCCCCCCTCAGTAAAAACAAATGGTTGAGCCTGTTCCTGGAGATTGTACAGATGGATCTAAGGACTATAGATTGGACAGCAAGAGACCAGATGAATGACAGGCTCTCATTGAACTAAAGGAAACCAAACACATAATAATAAAGAGAAATGACAAGTTGGGAAATGCTCTTCTTCTGAATAAAACATCCTATGAGATGTCAAACGACAACTGGATGACCAGACCACTTATAGACAACAAGACTCAAATCCCTTCCCCATTTTGGTAAATTAAGTCAATGAATAACTGAAGATGGCTATTACCCAGGCCGGAATACGAAAATCTGAGAGTACGGGAATATAATATAATGATCTAATGTAGTCTTCGCAGTAAGGGACCCCTTAGAAAGGGTAGGGTGGTACCTTGACCACCTATTAAAGGACATGGTATGCCAATTAAAATCGTATGTACAGGATGCCAGTGATGTCTTATCTAAAATAGCAGAATTGGAAGTAGAAGGGGATTTCTGGTTAATTGGAATAGACGTAGAATCTCTTTACACGTCAATTCCACATCTTTGCGTATTATTAGCAGTAGAATTCTTTCTGAATCACTTCTTTCCTGGAATGGTCCCACAATATGAATTGATTTTAGCATTATTAGAATTTGCACTAAATAATAACTTCTTTCAGTTTTCAAGTAAATATTATCAACAGATACAGGGACCTCAATGAGCGCATGCCTCCATTTAGGTATGTGGGAAGTATGTTTACACCTCATCAATGTACCAATGCCAGGTACACACATGGCTGAGGTACACTGATGACGTGTTTGTCATATGAAGAGGAGAGATTGACACTCTCCATCAATTTATAGGTCATCTAAATCAGAACGATAGGAATATCCATTTGACTTACTTTGACAGAAATCAGATCTCTTTTATAGATTTGTCGATTTTGGTAGAGCGGGGATCTTTAGTGACCTGTACTTTTTGTAAGGTGACTACTGTAAATACTTTATTACAAGCTGACAGCCATCATCCAACATGGCTAAAAAATGGAATACCGGTGGGTCAGTGACTACAGAAAGGAGGAAAGAGATCTCTATTCTCGATTTTGAGAACAGGGATACTCACATAGACAGCTACGTATGGCTAAACAAAGAGCTGCCAGCTATGATAGTAAGACCCTAAAAAAGACCTGGTAAAAAGAATCTTGAAGGAAAAATGAATACTGCCGGCCCTGTAAGGCTAATTACTCCTTTTGGTTCCCAATGGGATAAAATAAGAGGGATGCTCCAAAAGAATTGAGGTATCCTTGCCAATTACCCAAGACTCGCTAAAATTGTGGGTAGTCCCCCCAAATGGTAGCCCAGAGGGCACAGAATCTTGGGGAGATCTTAATTCATTCTGAATTAGTTAAAACACTGACCAGTGGTTGGCTTTCTGGCTATTCGAGAAAAGGGGATGTTCCCTTGTGGAAGATGTGCCAGTATGTAGAGTAGACTAATATGTTCATGGACTCCCTTAAAGAAAAAAGGTTTGAAATTAGAGATCTAATTAATTGTTCAACCACTAAGGTGATATATATGATCACTTGTCCATTGCAATAAATCTATGTTGGCAAAACCAAAAGACAGATTAAAGAAAAAAATCTGAAAAATGCAGAGAATCCACTAGCCAAACACTTTCATAAATTTCCTGGGGGGAGTTTGGATGGTGTGAAAGTTAAAGGTATTTATGCCCTTAAACTCTCTCAAAGACAAAGTGGCTTTAATACTATCCTGCACAGGAAAGAAAAATGGTGGCTATATAAGTTCCTATTGGGTTTAAATACTAAGATGAACCTCCAAGTATTCTTAGAGGAATAAGACTATATGGTTGGTTTCAGCGGTTCTCCCGTCTATCCCTATAGAACATGGGTGTCAAACTGGCAGCCCTCCAGCTGTTGCCAAACTACAAGTCCCATGAGGCATTGCAAGCCTGACAGCTACAGGCATGACTCCCAAAGGCAGAGGCATGATGAGACTTGCAGTTTCGCAACAGCTGGAGGGCCACCAGTTTGACACCCTTGCTATAGAACATTCGATTAGCATATGTTGAAATTAGACAACAGATTGGATAGTTCAATTCAAGTACCCAACAGCCATGGGGATTTTGAAAATGTTTCATTATCATATAATTTGCTATAATTATTATTTTTGAGAACAAAGTAATAAATATTGAAAAAAATCTGTACAGCATAGTGTTTCTCAACCTTTTTTTCAGTCAGGGCACCCTCTAAAATTTTGGACAGTCTTGAGGCACCCCATTCTAAAATGTAAAAAAAAACTATTCTAATTTTTTTTACACAATGCAGCAGCATCCACATGTAGGACACCCATTGTTAGAGGTGATTTATTCAAATACACTTTTGCACACTAGTACTGACTAATATTCCAATGTTTCTCTTCTCCCTCAGTTTTTCTCTCTCATTGAGCTGACGTGACCCCAGCCCTGATGGAGGGGGGCAGGGGAGAGTCAAACAAGGATGTTGTGCAGGCAACCAATATCCTCCTTATCAACTGATGATGCCATTGGTTGTCAGGATGCCGGCACCTAGAAGGTCGTAATGGTGCACAATGAACATAAAATTGATGTTGCCCTAGTCACAATAATGTCACAGACATTCCAAAACAAATAATGAGATGAGAAGACAATAGATAATACACCATAACAAAATCAGTAAATGGAAGGAATATGGGAGTGAAGGGAAAGGTGAAATAATAATGGTCCAAAATGAGGACCAAAAGGTGTAACAGACAATAAACTGTGACTGTTGGCCAAACGCATGGAAATGATCAGGGAAAAATAAAATGTTAACTAAATCACAGTAATAGTGGGACATATGAGTCCGTCATAACATAAATGAAATAACGTGAATTCAACTGATGAGAAAGTGGAGCAAAATGTGAAAAATACAAAATGAAGTGCTTAAATATTAAAAGTGGACAAACCACTTATCACAGAAGAATGACAATAACAAAGCACAGTGAGGCCAAAAAATGTGACCATGCAACTAAAGGGTCATAACACACTGTGCATCAAAAAGCCATGTGACATGAAACAACTAATAAGTGACTATATAAATACCATAAATAAATGTGGCAAACATATAGAATGCGACTAGTATAAAACAGAAAATTGTGATACAGACGCATAATGAAACCAAATGAATGTATTACTGTGCACTGTAAAATACAATAACAAAATTAAGAAATAAATATCATGTGACTAAAAAAAATCATAAATGCGATATAAAGTCCATGTGCAAGAACGTCCAACAAACACGCATCCAAAACGAAAAAAAAAAAAAAACGCAACGTGGATAGGTAAATGATTAGTGAATCCCACACTGGCTAAAATGCCTCCTCACCTTTGCGCTCAGACCCTAAGGGGCCAAAAGGCTTTCAGGATAATCACTGCAGGGGCCATTTAAGTGGAATCCCAAACGGCGATGTAGGGATGATATCCCCCTCACTGGTGGACCATACTGTTCAGCGGTGGTAATATATCTTCTAATGCATATAGTTCAGGACGATATGAGAGCACTAAGATAGATTAACCACACTGGTGGAATATGGTGAAGAATATAGGTGTTCTCATTTAATAACTTATTTACACCTTATATAGGATCGATGCATTCTCCTGTATGGAGGAACTATATAGTTAATAAGCTGTTTCTGGGCCCAAATTTCAGAAAACTGTACATGCGCAGCTCAGTGTACAATGTCAGCATGCCTTGATGTCCAAATGATTTAACTCCCTGCACACATGTGTGGGAGCTATGTCATCCTGGGCTTGCAAAATAAGATGGCCAAAGATGTCAAACCCAAAAGAAGACTTAGCAAAGATGTTAACACCAGCAAGAAGACTCATGCCCAATTGCTGAAGTGAAGATGAGTATTGGGCACTTAAGTTCTGCTTTAAGTAAGTTTAAGTACGATTAAAATGTTGGGTTTGATTCCCTTTTAATGACATTGTAATGACATTTGTATGATCCAGTTAAATGATAGAAAGGAAAGGGTTAGTGTGCATGGGGAGTTGTATTGTGCTCCTGACTGACATTTTTGATGGATGTGGAATGCAGTGATTGGATTTTGAATTGGATTTTATACAGCAGTGTAAACGTGTGTTCATTGTTATTTCTGCAATCCCGTTGCAATGCAAACGTGCGGTAAATGTGTGGAAAGCACATTTCAAATGCAAGCTGTTTTCCCTGAAAGCCTGCCATACTTGACTTAATCCAGAGTCTATTGTTCTTGTACATTGCCCCTAGGTTTACTTGTAAATTATACATATTAAAATAAGCCAAACTAATATTGAATTAGGCCAGATCTATCAACTCAGCAGGATTATAAAAGGACTTTAATAAAATGTCAACCCGCATTTAAATTGCAGATTACATTTAATGCTGTTAAATGTACGGTTTATATACCCGAGCTGTGATAATAGCATGACCACTATATTACAGTTGGGGAAAAGAGAACTGGAGTATGACTTAGATGCCAAGCAGTAGATGTAAAATCACAAGAAATCCTGAGATGTAGAAAATGGGAAATAAAAATACTGGTATATAATGGTATTACCGTTGTATGAATACAACGATAGGCCATATATTGACTATGGGATATTATTTCTAAGCACTGCGCTGTAAAAACAAGTTAGAAGATTTAACCAAAGGTGGGCAACCAAAATATCAAAAGCCATGGAAGATGTCACATTCAATGGATATATATTGCTGATATAGAACAGAATTTTCCTGAAAATAGCGGCAATCTTTTAAGACAAGAACATTAGTGTGACAATAAGTGAAACATTTTAAAAGAACCATCATAATTATCCCACCTGTGACTGAGATATGAAAGGTATGCACTATAAGTGGTACTTAAAAGAAGGTTTAGATAACTGGGGAGTAAGTGAGATTTGACTAATCCTAATAAACTATAAATAGGGTGTCTGTCAACCATACCTTCATGTATGCATTGAGAAGGGGGATGCGACCTTCAGCAATATCCTTCTTGTTTCCAACATAAATCTTTGCTACAAGACAAGGACACAGACAGATGCTAAGGACGAAAGAAGCAACTGATCATCATACTGTCAAATACAAGTTAAATTGGGCTGCAGAGGAGTGCATATCCCTTAACATGAAAAACTAGGGGTACAGACAGCGCCAATTACAAAGGAGCCACAAGAGACACAAAAATGTTCAGTCAGATCTCCTGAGAAAGGAGAATTCCATTTCTCAGATCACAGACACTACAGCCACATACCTGGCAAAGGGGGCAGGGAGCAAATGTATGGTGCAGCTCCATTCTCTGGTCCATAATTCTGCTCTAGCTTAGAGTGCAGAGTAAAGAACTCGCTGTATCTTCTGTATATAAAATACTTACTGCCTCCTTTTGTTTTAACCTCAATGACAAATGTCTATGAAAGAAAGAAAACAACCAATTATATTAAGCAGTGCGCTAATAGTATTATATACAGCAGGGGACTCCAAACTTTTCAAACAAAGGGCCAGTGTACTGTCCTTCAGAATTTATGGCGGCTGGACTGTGGACAGCTGGAGTAGAAAATGTCCTGGGTACAGCATCAGTGAAAATAAACATGGCCTCAGGGTTGGTGGTAATTAGGAGTAGTGCCATCATTGGTATTAGTGGAGGAAATCGTGCACCATTGTTGGTATCAGTGGAAGACATAGTGCCCCATTGTTGGTGTCAGTGGGAGGAATAGTGCCCCAAGGGTAAGATGAAGGCTAGCAAAAGGCTGCAGTTTGGAGAATGCTGATATACAGTATATAGTGCCATACAGTATATTTTTGTTTATACTGTAGAATTATAGTATTAAAGTTTGGTTTTCTTATTGGAGGATTGTGCCTCCTGTTGTGAATTTGGCTGATCAGTGTACTATACCAGTGAGATACCAGCCCCCGTACACCCTTTGGTCTTTTCTTGAACCTTGTCCAACATACACACCTCACATTCCAATATTTATCAATCTCCTTGACCTCCTGCCAGCAACTGCAGAGATTGTGGTGGGGGAAATTGAGGAGCCTCTGAGTACAGTGGGGACCAATGAGATTGACTCCCAAAAATGTAAGTTTTCCTAAATACTTCTGCTGGGGATTTTACTTGAAAGGAGCAGTGCTTGGTGACACAGGGAGTGGAGGTGATTTAAGCATTCACTCTCTTTTTCAGTAGACCTTCAGAAGCATATTTTTATATTTTACTGGCAGTTGTTTTAACCCCTCAGTGAACCATCTCTAATCAATACACATTAAAGTGGAACTTTAGTCAGGAAATTAACCGCTAGGTCACTTCAGGATGGCCCCTATTGCAGGTATAGCTATGTAAAACATTAAAAAATAAGTGCCTATACTGTTTAACTAGTTGCCGACCGCAGATAGCCGAATGACGGCTGCACTGTGGCCGGCCAGTTCTGGGTGGACGTCATATGACGTCCCCCCAGAACGCGCTCTCCTGCGCGACCCAGGGGGCGCGCACCCGGCGATCTCCGTGATCGCTGTGTCCTACGGACACAGCTGATCACGTGATGTGGTAAAAGGCCAATCATACCGGCCTTTTACCACGTGATCAGCGGTATCCAATGACACGCTGATCACAGGGAAATGCAAGTGCCGGTTCTCGGCTGCACTTTCCTCACGCTGTCAGATCGTGAGGAAAGTACTGCCAAGAACCGGCAGTTGTCAGAGCGGGGATCGGCACCGATCATCAGGGCACTGATGATCAGTGCCCTGATGATCGGTGCCCAGCAGTGCCACCCGCAAGTTCCGCCCACCTGTGCCCAGCAGTGCGCCCACTAGCTCCGCCCACCTGTGCCCAGCAGATCACCCACCTGTGCCCAGGAGTGCCCCACCTGTGCCCAGCAGTGCACCCACCTGTGCCACTCTGCAGTGTCACACACCTGTGCCCAGAAGTGCCACCTACCTGTGCCCAGCAGTGCCACCCACCTGTGCCCACCCACCTGTGCCCACCCACCTGTGAACACCAGTGCCACCCACCTGTGCCCACCTGTGCCCACCCACCAGTGCTGCCCACCAGTGCCACCCACCAGTGCAGCCCAACAGTGCTGCCAGTCAGTGCCACCAGTCAGTGCCCAGCGGTTGTGCCAGTCAGTGCCGCCAGTCAGTGCCCAGCAGTGATGCCAGTCAGTGCCATCTATCAGTACCCATCATCAGTGTCACCTATCAGTGCCGCCTATCAGTGCTGCATATTAGTGCTGCCTATCCGTGACACCTCATTAGTGCTGCCTATCAGTGCCGCCTATCCGTGCCACCTCATTAGTGCTGCCTATCAGTGCCCTTTAGTGCTGCCTATCAGTGCCCATCAGTGCCACCTATCAGTGCCCATCAGTGCTGCCTCATCAACGCACATCAGTGAAGGAGAAAAATTACCTGTTTGAAAAATTTTATAATAGAAACAAAGAAACTTTTTTTTTTTTTTTTGCAAATTTTTTAATTTATAGCGCAAAAAGTAAAGCACCCAGTGGCGATTAAATACCCCCAAAAGAAAACTCTATTTGTGAGAAAAAAATGATCAAAATTTCATATGGGTACAATGTTGCATGACCGCGCAATTGTCAATCAAAGTGCGGCAGTTCTGAAAGCTGAAAATTGGCCTGGTAAATAAGGGGGTATAAGTGCCTGGTAGGCAAGTGGTTAAAGCCCAGTAATGCACTCACCCTGCTTTGCACATGCTCAGTTGCTCTCTATTTTTTGACACTTTGCTGAAAATGTAGAGGTCAATCTACTGACAGCCTAAAGATTTACTGCTGCTCAGGGGTTCTGAGCTTCAGCAAAATGGCAGCCTCCAGCAGGAAGAAATCAGGAACAATGCTGGAGGCAATTTACAGCACACACTAATTTTGACAGTATAATTATTAATGTGGAATGTATGTTTCTTGCTAAAGAACATTATTTCTTTTATCAAGTTGTTATAGGCAAAGTTATGCTTTAATGCATCACAGACCACTCAATTCAATGTATGTACATCTCAGTTATCACTGACTTGTGTGCAAGCATTAACCCATCAGTGACCCATTGTGAGCATTAAACCATCAGTCTCCTGTGTGTGTGCATTGACCCTCAGTAACCAGTCTCTAGTGTATATACATTAAGCTATCTGTGAGCAGCTTCAATTCTTCGTACATTAACCACTAAGTGACCAATCTCCAGTGACCAATCTCAAGTGTAATGTATGTATGACCAGTATCTGGTGTAGGATCATTAATTATCCACAGAGACCAGTCTTCAGAGTACATGCATTAACTATGTCCATGTACGAATGGTGGGCTCTTCTTGTAGGCCATAGCGACCAATTAGAATGCCTGCTTCAATTTCAACTCTCCAGAAATTACATTTGCAAACTGACTAGCTGCTATGGGAACATAAATATTCTTGCTAGCACACTTTTCCTACATAGGACACAACATTTTTTTAGATGTTCTGCAAAGTTTTTTTAACTGGTATGTTAGGGAAAAACTAAACTGTAGTAATTAACTGACAGGTACTTTGCTGCTTTAACAGTCAGATACCATATTACTTGTACAAACTGAGAAACTGAGCTCCTTACATAATATACTGTGAACCCACTTCTCTCCTCAACATCAGCAATGTGGGCAGAGACTGCAACATCTCCCGGCAGTTGTTCATAGTCACTAGATGAAAAAAGAAACAAAGATCTAAGGACATAAATAAATAATCCACAAACTATGAACTAATTCCTTATCTTAACAAATGTACTACCAATGTAATTTTTTTAAACTTGTCAAACTGTATCTCAGATGTACCTCCACTTGAAGAGGAACTCAGTCAAATGCTACATGCATCCAACCTGGTCACACAGCACAATCCAAGGTGATTTAGGAAAAAGAACACTTTTTGAGAAAAAAAACATTTGCAAATATAGTTAAAACAAAACAGGTCAAAAGCCCCTAAGCCACCAAGTCTGCCTTAAAGAAGCTCATGTATTTTTCTGAGCTGAGCTGAGTGACAACTAGTAAATATAGAAGCTCTTTTGGCCATACTTCTGTGGGTCACAGCAGTGTATTTAGTTCTGAACTCCTTTTGACCCAGATTCAGTCAACAGCAGTCTATAGTCCGCTGTTGGCTGACATCAGAGAGCCAGTCCAGGCTCTGCAGGGATCCCGACAACAATGGCTGAGCAGCAGCTCCCGCCCATTCACAGTCCAGTGCTCCTGTGAACACTGGAGGGGCAAAGCACAGAGCAATGACTGACAGTCACCGCTCTGTCCTCAGAGCAGACCTAAGAACTGAGCGATCAGCTGTCTTTGATCACTCAGTTCTCAGTGTAGAGCCGGCAGGGGACAGCTACAGCTTGGCTCGATGCTGTAGCCATCTAGGTGAGAATGTGTGTTAATTTTTTTTGATACTGTACTTCTTTTTTAAAGTTGAAAATTGAAGCATCAAATATCTCAGATGTGAACTGGAGCAAAAGCAATGTCAGCTTATTTACTCTTCTAAAAATGCTGTCAGGCATAAAACATTCTCCAGGCCTCACTGGTACACCTGAACAATGCTACTTCATAATATAGAAAAAGCTTTCCAGTCCTTTCATCTTGACTTGCTGAAGATGGTACTTGGCATATAAAACTGAACTCAGGCCATCATTTTAATACCTTTAGAGCAGTAAGAGTTGAACTATCCAGTGCGACTAAGCCAAGTTCAGGCTATGCAAATAGAAAAAAGACTGAATTAACATGCTGAGTAGGTAAACCATCTACTAATCCCTCTGAACGTATTCAAATGATGGTGCCCAGAGTTCAGATTTAACATTGAATTCAACAATAAATGCTGACTTTTTGCCAAATATCCATTAGTGTATATATTTGTTATTTAATGCCTACTTTGTCTTACATTTTCTTTCAAATGGTAAACATTTAATAGAGTGATCCGGATTGTATATCACAAATATAACCTCCATTAACATATCATCTTAGTATTATAGCGTGATACACTTCCTATTAATATAATATAATATATATGAACACTCTCATTTTGCTACGTGTTGCTTACCTCTCATCCCTGAGCTGACGAGGGAGGGACATTGTCAGCAAATTTCAGTTTTGGCACAACCTCATCAAATCTGTAAACAACAACCAGTTAGGACAATAATGTCTGAAATAGTATAGTTGCTATATAAACACATTTTCTATAAGACCTCTTTCATACTGATGGTCCGATCAGGTGGTCTGGACCATCTATAGATCTCTAAGGACCAGCAGGTGTCAGTGGACAAGTCGATAAGTTCTATATTCTTAAGCGCAATGAAGAACCAACCATAAGAACAAATTCCATACAGTGCATTCACTGGATAGCAGCCACTGCTGCTGTTAACATCATGTGAATGAATCCAAAAGTTCCAAAGAAACCATAGGGCTGTGGGGAGTGTAATGATGAAAAAACCTCACCAGGAGGTGTATCTTTATTGGGAAAGACAATGGATAAAAACGTGAGTACACAAGCCTGTAGCTTAAGAGGAAGTCTGGGTCAGGATGGACGGCCCGTCCACTCTGATGGAAGTCTGCTTGGTGGTAGGAATCGCCTGTCAGTCAGTGACGTAACCGCGATGCCCGGGAGATGGAGGGGAGGAACCAACACTGTGGCTGCAAGCAGGAGAGAAGGACAACATGTTTCCAGGTTACCAGAACGACATGTTTCACACGCATGCACCTTTTTAAGTGACTTCAAGGGACTTGAAAAGGCGCATGCGTGCGAAACATGTCATCCTGGTAACTGGCCTTCTCTCCTGCTTGCGGCCACAATGTTGGTTCCTCCCCTCCATCTCCCAGTCATTGCGGTGATGTCACCCGGGACGCCGCAATCACGTGGACCCTGTCTATCAGTGGACAAATGTCTGTTGATACCTGCTGGCAGGGGCGGACTGACCATTCCAGCACTCGGGCACTGCCCGAGGGCCCGATGTCAGTAGGGGGCCCCATGAGATGCCCCCAGTACCTTTCATTGGCAGGACACAGGGGCCCCATGATCCCCTTTTTCCCGGGGGCCCCATGAGTTGTCAGTCCGCCCCTGCCTGCTGGCATCCAATCCAATCCAATCCTGTATACCAAAAATAGATGGATGGTGGATCAGATGGCAGTCGGATGGAAACAGATAGGCAATCCGTTTCCATCCGACCACCCCACAGAAGACAGCGGGCAGTGTCTGTGTCCACTCTGCAGCAGCGGAGTGGACACAGAGCTGTCATCCAACTGCTCAGCGGGGATCAGTGGAGAAATCCCCCGCTGAGCAGGCAGATCAGCTGACAGGTCCGCCCCATCTGAAAGGGGCCTTATCTGCCAAAGTTGTTTTATTGCATTAAACTTTTGACTGTCCTGCAAATCATTGCATTGTTCACATGACAAGTTTCAGCCCATTGTTTTAAACAGCACTCGTTCAGATTGGTGCAATTTATAGTCGTAGTAACTTTGGAAAAGTGCTGAACAACTTTGATGTGACTTAGTACCAGAGAGTGTAATGTCAGATCAAAGTCGCACTCAAAGTTACACTCCAAAGTTGCACTGGAAAGTATGCGACTCCATAGACACGCAAGTGTGAATGGAGCTTAAATGATAATTTGTGCATGTTAATTCATGGTCCACCTGATCAGAGGTGGAGCAAGGATTATTATTTCTGGAGATATACAGTATATATATATATGTGTGTGTGTGCGTGTGTAACATATGCGTGCACGGTTCAAGAGATTATCAGAATTGAAGATGTTTCAAAGAAAGATGTTGCAATATTCAGCAACACACAACACTCTTCCTGTTAAGTAATCCCACTGTCCCAATGGAAGGTGCAGTAGACTTCCTGTTGGTTAATCCCACAGAAAGACACAGCAAACACCTTCCACTAATCTGAAATGACAGATAACAGAAAATAACAGCCTGCATTCAGCTAGCTAACCTAGAAATACATATGTGTGAAACATGACAAGTTCTGCTAAAAGTTAAAAAAATATATTTCTGTTAAATTTTGGATATAGAGAAGGGTTGGGAGCTCTTTCAGATTTGTATTATTATTTGTGTCTGTTTTGGGGATTTGTGTCCATATATTCCCTTTACTTTCTGGATTCGTCCACACCTTGGTTCAGAGCAGTCAGTTTTTCTGCAGGTATTCTGCAAGGGCACAACAAAACCAACTGTTCTCTATGTGCCCTGTTCACACCACAACACTGGTGTCACATGCAGATTTATTCCACGCAGGAATTTGTAACTCATTAGGCGCACATAAAAACTGATGTTTCTGCAAGTGAAATCTGCGCATCATTTTCCATCAGGTTTTCTGCACGTATGGTGTGAACAAGGCCTCTGTCTCGGAGACAGCTGTCATTGAGATGAGGATGGCTCCTATCCCCCTATAGGTCGATGAGGCTGCTTATATCAATAAAGGACCAAAAAAAATCTCAGGAGGGAGTTGGTCCAGGTTGACTTTAGAGGAAAAGTAAAGATTTGCATATCATTTTAGTGATGTCTATATCTGAATCTACTGACATTTCCAATAAGCAGCTTTTATAAAAAGGTATGAGCTCTTGTGCATTTTGCATTTTTTTGGAATGTGCAAAATGGGAATTGCTGAGTTTTTAAGCAGTAATCAAACAGTAATAAAAATTGGATCTGAACAGCACTTAAGACAAAAGGGCGCAGCAAAAAAAAAAAAAACAATATATGAAAAGCCCCTGTGTGACATTAATAATAATCATTATTAATAATTAATAAAAGTGCTGTTTAGTCACTAAATAGTTAATGGAAATAACTTCAAAAATCAGCTACAACAAGAAAATCAAATAAAATGAGTTTACGAGTAAAGAAATGACATTCTCTGTTGAAGAGAAGAGAGGAGCTTTCTTAAAACTTCAATACAAGAACACAGTGCACCAGCATAGCCTAACAATTTGTCTTTATTGTGTAGAAAAAAAAGTAAAGCACTCATAAATAAAATCACTGCTTATCTGAGGGGGTGACTGGTAACCAGGAACCGCCACAAAACCACTAGTGTGGGCAGTGGATCCGCTGTGTGGGACGTACACGCTGGAGCGCAAGTACCTCTCCATAGACAGATAAAGTTGGAGTCTGTTTCTCTGTTCTTAAGCATGAATTAAAAAAAAATTAAAAATTTCATTAAAAAAAAGTAGGAGTCTGTGAAAAGGATATCTATTCACAAGTGCCTTACACGGGTCGAATTCCGAAAAGAATTTTCTTTCGAAAATCTTTTCTAAGAATTTTCGTTAGAATTTCACACCATTAGTGGGTCACAGAAATGGCCAATTTTCATGTGACTATCGAATCTGAGTGATCGGGCATGTTGAAATTATTTGAAAGACGAACTAATTTCAAATCAATGATGGAAGAATCGTGCAAGAAATATAAAGCTGTGACCTGGAAAGAAAAGAAAATTCTTGGTCACGAAAATTCTTTTCTGTAGTAACATGAGAAATTGAAGGCTTAGTTGGTTGAATTTCTACATCAATGGTGGCACCATCGGATTACAAAATGCACAAAATTTCTGATTTTCTAAAGAAAATGCATTTGGAATTCGATCCATGTATGGCCTGCATTACGCATTATTAACAACAAATGTTAAATGAATACATCAGGTGCTAGCAGAATACTATCACCAGGAGACAAACCAGTCTATTCTTCCTCTTGCAATCCCCATAGCTAACAGTGCACCATAGTGCTAATAAAGCATAAAACAAATATTTATAGCTTCAACGTGCAAAAAAATTATGCACTGACTAACAATGAAAGAAACTGATAGAAACAGTCTTACCTTCGCCACTCACAAGCTGCTTCTCTGAACAAAGTTTTGTGCTGCTTGTGTCAGAATAAGGAAGTATACAACGTAAATAGCAAAGAGCTCAAGTAGTGAAATAGGAAGTGAAGACAGATTTAAACCTCCCACTCAAGTCTTTTGTCAAAAATCCCCCACCTACCAGCAAAAATGTTATTGGGACTATGGATTCCAAGAACAGAAAATGACAGTTACCTCATTTAGGAAGCACTTAGATGTCATAACATTCATTTTTATAAATAGTACCAAACAATGTCTAGAAGTTGTATTCAGCTAAACAGCAAGCTTCAAAACAGAAACCACTTTAGCCTGAGCTATGGTTGGCCATATACTGATCGAATCTAAGCTGGTCCCTGATAAACAGGCCAAAATTCACTCACTGGGTGCCCCTGTCTGCCACCTCCCTCCCGACATTTGTCAATGAAATAGGAAAAGAATAGGTGGAATTAATAGGGCCCCCCTTTTTTTATGGGACAGTGGCAGGGGATATAAGGTTATAAATACAGTGGGGGAACATTCTAGAAGGTCAGTAGGGTTTTTAGCCCCCCCCCCCCATTAGTGAGAGGAGGAGAAAAACCCGTTAAAGTTTCAAGTCCCCCCATGGTATTCTAACATAATGGGGAAGCTTCTAGAAAATAGGAGTTTTTAGTCCCCAACTACACCTGGACAGTTTTAAGCTCCCCCCCCCCAGGGTATATTATATAATGGGGAAGATTCTAGAAATTGGGAGTTTTTAGCCCCCCACTACACCTGGACATTCCTGGTAGAAAAAGTGACCAATAGAGAGAAGAATTGGAGAGAGGAGAGGGCTATAAAAGGGGGTTCTGTTAACGGAAAAAACAGAAACCTGGGAGGCATCTCTGTGGTGCTCCCCTCCCACCCGCCTATTTTATTTGTGGCCAATATTATTGGTAAGTATCATATTAAATGATGGTAGAATAAGTAAGTATGTCAACTGCAAAAAGATGAATGGTTGATGAGTATGGTTGATAAGTGTTGTGTTAATAGGTATAGCTTGAGTCATAGTGATTAAGCTGGGGGTTTAAGTAAGAATTAATTTAAGCAAAAATTTTTTACAATTATTAGTAAGCTAATATGAAAAAATAAAGTGTTATTATGAAGAATGATATTTAAACCAATAATAACGGCCGTGGGCAAGTTAGCACCAAACAATAAGAGGTGTTATCTTTTATTGTGTATAGAATAAAGAATACTGCCTACAGTCCCATAAACAGGCCAACATTCACTCACT